TTTCCTTCCCCCTACAAACTTCACCTTGGTGAGGAACCAAATGATGCTGGAGAAATCCAGAAGAAGATAAACTCTTAGCACATTATTTGTTTGCCTCAGACGTGGTTAATTCTCCAAAGCAGGTTTTGCAAATGTACCAGGTCGGTGTGAGGTACTGGCTGGGATCTTTACTATTCTCAGAGTCCCCTGAAAGAGCAGGAATAAATGAGAGATGATGAGGACCTATTGGGGTTTGGAGCAAATGGTCAAGAAAGAATTCTTGAGATATCTTCAGTGCAAAAAGATGGTTTTATTAAAGCACAGGGACAGGACCCATGGGCAGAAAGAGATGCATTAGGGTTGTGAAGGGTGGTGATTATATACTTTCAAGGTGGGAGGGGGATTAGGGACATCGTAAGTCTATTAGGGGCATTGTAAGTCTATAGGCTTCCAGGACCTTGAGGGGTTAGCCATTGTTAGGAAAAGGGCATTTATTACTGTCTAGTAAAACCTTAGTCATGAGACCCTTCAGATGTGTATCAGTGGACCATATGCTTAGTGGATGATTGTCAACATATATCTTGGGGGGTAGAGATAAGAGAAGTTAAAGGAATTTTTATATGTTAAAGAAGTCTTACAGGATCCCAGAGGTCGGGATAATGTTAAGCCAAGATTGCCTTTTGCCCTTAGCAAAGTATTAACATCGAGGCAGCTGAATTTCTAGAGGAATGTCACCCTGCCTGTCTCAAGGACTTGTCAATGGGCTGTAAGTAGTAAGAAAATTTCATTTTTTTTTTCATTTGCCTTGGTTCCATATCAAGAGATAGCAGAACTATTGAGATCAGTGGCCCTGATTTTTCTTTGAGTCAGGTGTTTTTAAAAAATTGCTTTTCTGGGGGCACCTGGGTGGCTCAGTCGCTTAAGCGTCTGCCTTCCGCTCAGGTCATGATCCCAGAGTCCTGGGATCCAGTCCTGCATTGGGCTCCCTATTCAGCAGAGGAATCTCCTGTCTCAATCTATTGAAGTCATTTTTTTTTAATTTGAAATAACCCATGCACCAATTTCTGCTTCACTGGAAGAACTCAGGCCTTGTCAAATA